GCCGCCGCCTCGGCCGCCGCCGCCGCCACCGCCGCCGCCCCAGCCCGGTGTCCGGTGTCCTTGCGTAAAAATAGCCGGGCCACGCGGAGGGCGCGGGGGAGGGGGCCGTGACCCGGGCGGGCGGGGGTGGCGCCCTCTGCGCACTTGGGGTGGGGGCGGCGCCCTCATGGCCCCCTGTGGGCTCGCATTCCCTGCCTCTGTCGTCTCTAGGCCATGGCTTTGGGTCTGTGGTGGGGATGGGTCGCTGAGCTTGTTGTGCCAGGGGCCGCATTCTCTGGGCGTCTCTGTCTACTTGGATTTCTGTCTTTATTTTGTTCTTGTTTCTCCAGAGGTCTAAAACCACCACCACAACCATCATCTTTGCTATTACTTACTATTGAGACAGTCTCACTAGGTAGTTCTGGCCAACCTTGATTTTATTCTGTAATCAAGGCTGGCCTCGAACTCAGTTATCCTGCCTCCTCAGCCTCCTGAATTCAGGGATCACAGGTGCTTGACATCCCCCTCCCCACAGCTCACGTCTCTTTTATATCTCTGGGGTTCCTCTTTCTCACTATCTCTCTCAGACCTGCGTGTCTGGGACACTCCCCTTTCTTTGTTGTTTTTTTTGTTTTTATTTTCCCAGTGTCTCAGTGGCTGCAGATGTCTCCCAGGGACTCGGAGTCATTTCCCTGAATCCCTGTTCCTCACCACAGTGGACTCCACCTTCCCAGCAGTCGCTCCATCCTGGGCCCCCTTTGGCAGCTGCAAACCACTGAATATGTGCACCCTGTCGCGTCCCAGGGGGCTCCACTTGGACCTCTGCAAGACGGGATGAGACCCAGCAGGGCCTGAGCTGAGAGGAGGCGGGGCCTGCTGGGAACCGGCAGAGGTGGCAGGCGAAGATGCAAGGGTCACTCTCAGGAGCCGAAGGGCAGACACAAGAAGGCCTTCCAGCTTGGGTGTCCAGTGACACTGTGTAAAAATAGTCCCCTCGGATGGGCTGGGGGGTAGTGATGAGTATTGGTCCTTCTACACATCTAGGGGAAGGGATCCTGCGTGCCCTCTGCTGGGGACGTGGAGAGAGGCACCTCCCCTCCTCCCCCCGCCCTGCTTTGGAAGACTGCCTTCTCTAGGTGTCTGGCTTCTGGCTCTGCGTCCATTTCTTTCTTCTTTTTGGTTTATTTGTTTTGAGATGGGATTTTGCCCTCCTGCTCAGACTGACCTTGAACTCCAGGGCACAAATGATTCTCCTGCCTCAGCCTCCTGATCAATGGGAACTATGAATACACCATGCTGGGGTTTTCATAGTCTTTGGCCCTTCTTAGATCTGTCTGACCCCTGTCCTTTATTCCTGTCTTCTCTTTTTCTCATTCTGTACCCCCTTTTGTGTGTTGCTAGCTCTTGTGTCATGGTCTGAATCGTCCCCTACACCAAGCTGGGCTCCTGCAAGGTCCAGGTCTTTCCCATGAGCCAGGGTGGCTTCTAAGTAGCTTCTTATCCAACAGCACCTGAATGTCCTCTCCCCTCTGTACACCCTGCATCTATCCAGCTTCCCATCCTTTGCAGCCCTCACTTTGGGGACACAAGAAGTCATGGGCCATCAACAGCATCAAGCATAGCATCTCCTGTTTTTTCCTCTTCAACTCTGTCCTCTACCTGATCCCTGCTCCTCACAGAAGGCCTGGAAGCCCCCTCCCTTGGGTCCTCCTGCCGCCTCCTCACTATCTCTAGACAGTTGTTCCTCTATCCCACATACTTCACCACTTCAACTTCTTTTAATGTTTGTTTGTTTGTTTGTGTTTTGAGCCAGTGACATGTGTAAAAATAGCCCCCTCGGATGGGCTGGGGGGTAGTGATGAGTATTGGTCCTTCTACACATCTAGGGGAAGGGATCCTGCGTGCCCTCTGCTGGGCAGGGTCTTGATATAGTCCAGGCTGGCTTTGAACTCACTATATAGCCCAGGCTGGCCTTGAACTCATGGTGCTCCTCCTGCCTCAGCCTCCTGAGTGCTGGCATTATGGGCATGTGTCACCATGCGTGGCTACCACTTCAAGTTCTTCAAAGCTCATGCTGCCTGTGGCTGTACCCCGAGTATACCCGTTCCTGTCTGAAGCTCACGCTGCACGTGGACTCGTGTTCCCATCCTTTTTAATTTTTTTTCCTGCTGGGGATTGAACTCAGGGCCTGGGACATATTGTACAAGTACTGTCCCACTGAGGAAAGAACACCATAGGGTTTTTTTCCTGGCACTGGAAATCGAATTCACTGTCTTTACACTGAGCTACATCCATACCCCTATTTATTTATTTATTTATTTATTTATTCGTTTAGAGGGTCTTATTAAACCTTAGACTTTTGATCTTCCTGCCTCCTCAGAGTTTACAGCTGTGCAGAACCATGCTGGTTATACCTTGGTGTTTCAGAGGTTGAGTCATTGAAGATGATGTGGCTTTCTGTCCATTCTTTTTCCTGGGTCACCTGTCTAGGCCAAAGGGGAAGACCCATAGGCCTCACCATGCCACCTTGCTCAATTTTTGCCTTTCTTAACTCCTGCCTTTCCCCTACGGTTTACCGCCATCATCCTTTGCATGTTTTTCCCGCTATGTCTGAGCCCTAAGTGTAGGACACCCTTGGGACTCCATCTGCGAGCCCGTCTTTGTCCTTGTTCATTGCTTAGGTGACCTCCTTCAGGAGCGTGACTTCAGGTACCATGTATACCCCAGTGACTCCAGACTTACCCTTTCAGCTCTTGTGCCTCCGCTAGACTTCAGTACTCCATGCTCGACTCCTGGGGCCTCATGAGCATGCTGGCCAGTCCACATCTGGGACACCTTCCAGCATCCAAGGCCATTCTTCTCCAAGTCTTCCTCTTCTAAGCCAGTGGCTCCATTGCAGACTCAGTTTCTTTGTCTACAAATCTAGGACTCAGTAATATTAAGGAAAGATAGAGTCTTGCTGTGGGGTATAGGCTGGCCTTGAGTTAGTGATCATCCTCCTGCCTCAGCCTCCTGAGTGCTGGGATTACAGATGTGCACCACTACATCCAGTCTAACCATGTTCTTTTGAAATAGCTTCAGACTTGCAGAAGAGTCAGAAAAATAGTGCAGAACCATCACATGCCTTTTACCCGGCCACCACCACCATCAGCCACGGCACAGTGATTTAAGCCAGAAAATTGACAAGGGTATAATGCCATTAACCACACGAAATACAAACCTTGGTTGAATTTCACATTTGCTACTAATTTTTTTTTTTCTTTTTCCTTTTTCGGTCTGAAACAGGGTTTGACTGTGCAGTTCAGGCACCGGCCTTGAGCTTACTTTGTAACACAGGCTGCCTTAAACTCACAGTGATCCTCCTGCCTCACCTTCCCAAGTACAGGGATTACAGGTATGTGTATGCCACCACACCTGGTCTCTTTCATTACACTGGGGATTGAACCCAGGACCTTCTATGTGCTACATCCTCAGCTGCCCCTCTTTTGACTGAATTTTACTAAACTGCCCCAGCTGGGTTTGAATTTATGATCTTCCTGCACTGCCTCCCAAATAGCTGTGAGTATGGCCATTTGCCTCTAAACCCAGTCACGAATGTTCTGAATTGAATTTTGGTCCAGAATTCAATTTCAGGACCCACTTGTGTTAGATCGAACTCTGTCTTTGGTACCAGGAATTGAACTCAGGGCCTGCACTTAGCAGGCAAGTGCCTCTGAGCTACACCCCAGTCCTAGATGTCTCTTTAAATCTTTCTAGGAGTTAGTATAAGGTCTCTCCTTTTTTCTTTCTTTCCTTCCTTTTTTTGGTCTCCCTATGTAGTTCAGCCTGCACTTGAACTCACTTTATACCCCAGACTCGTCTCAAACTTGCAGCCATCGTTCTGCCTCAGCCTCCCAAGTGCTGGGATTACAGGCATGTGCCATCACACCTGGCTTCTCTTTTTTCTTTTTTGTAGCGCTAGGGATGGAACCCAGGGTGACACACACACTAGCCGGCGCTGTACACTGAGCTCCACAACGGCCCCTCCTGCCTCCCTAGACACTCACTGCTATAGGAGCTGCACAGGTGTCCCCGCTTTCCAAATAGACTCCTAATCCCCCCATGCTGCTCTACCCCACTGCTTAGACTATGGCTAAAGTCCAAGCCATCGTCTCTGTCTCTTCCCTGGAAATGATAGCCTGGCCTCCATCTGCTGTTTTCACTTAGCCCTTTCCCTGCCTTTTTTTTTCCTTCTGTGACAAAACCTTTAAAACAATATTTATTTATTTACTTATTTACTTATTTATTTTTTGGTGGAACCAGGGATTGAACTCAGGCCCTTGCGCTTGCCAGGGAAGCGCTTATTCTATTGAGCCATCTCCCCGGCCCCAACAGTATTTATTTTTAATGTGAAAAAATGTCTCTTACAGAACTTTTTAATAATTAAGTGATCTAGGGGCTGGGGTTATAGCCCAATAGTATAAGCGCCTGCCTGGCAAGTGCAAGGTCCTGAGTTCAATCCCCGAGACCACCAGAACCCAAACACACACACACACAATTAAAAATAAGGCTGGCCAGATAGCTCACTGGACTAAAGTTCCTGCTTAGGCAGAGCACAGTGGCCAGGGTTTGAGACCCTGTACCAAATACATTGTTTTTTTTAAATTTTATTTATTTATGGGGGGGCAGCTCAGCCCACCAGAGGGCGTGACTGGCTGGCATGTGGTGCTGGGGGATTGAACCGCGGTCCCTGTGCTTTGCGAAGCTTGTTCTAAGTAGGTGCTTTAGACCACTGAGCCATCTCACCAGCCCCCCAAATACATTTTAAAAATTAAAAATTAAATGCCCTTCATAATCACAACTGCCAGGCATAGTGGGGCACACCCATTATTCCAGCACTCAGGAGGCTGAAGCAGGATTGTTGCAAGTTGGAGGC